TATTAATACGCTAACGAAATCCCACACAAATCTATTCCTCCCCACTTCTCCTTGTTTCTCAACCGATTTCAATGATTATTATTTTGCCTGAAAGGTAATTCAAAGAAGAGGTGCGAAATGGAATCGAGCTTCAAATTCGAAATACACGTTACTAGCATTAAGAGCACAATAGACCACTGGGTCGCAGTGCATTACTCATTTTAATATCTGAGAGAAATACTCCTGGGATTGGTGACTGCAGAGCCGAGCCGATGAATGCCTCCTTTGATTTCACCATCTACTATCTATATATTAATTCGATAACGGATTCCTATACAAATCTTTTTCTTCCTACTGCACCTGTGAGTTGTAAAATTATTTAACAGAATTATGTATATCGCTCAACCAAACAATATTAGTAACCTAGACTATTAAGAGGGCCGGTAGATCTGAAAACGGCACGAGCAAAATGAAAAAGTGTGTGAAAAAAGTAGGTTGGTCGAATTTCGACAACTCGGCGATACTAGTTTGCATAATTATCTCTAAGTTCTTCTTTGGTTAATTTAAATATACAAATATTTGAAACTAATACAGAGCTATGAGAAAAATTTTGCTCACGCTTTCATTGTTCCCCACATTATTCTTCGAGACAAAGTTACGGAGACTTCTTCGCATTTTGTTTTCTTAAAAATATTTCCAAAAGTGTTGTTTGCATTTCATCAGCTTTGGGAACATTCCCAGGGTTTTGTTCTTATATAAGTAATTCCCGTTGAGAACGTTCTTCAAAGTTTTATTCCCACTTTCGTCCTTGTGAAAACACCCCCGCAAGTTTTGTTCTCATTTCGGTTTGGGTTTTTAAGCGTTCTTGGGAACAAACCTACGAGAACGACATTTAGTTTCGATCATATATTTTGTTTTCAATCGCTTATTATTTTGTCGTCTAGCCGAAAGTATGAAAATGCAATAGGAAATATGGGTATGTATGTATGTATGTATGTATTTACATATCGCTCATTTACTTCAATAGTGTCACAACTCAATAAACGGTAACTCGAGAAAACCCACTTTAAAGTTTTGAATTTACATATTTACTCCCATAGTGAAAATGAAAATATATTTTGTTCTAGTGAGATACTGGTAATCCATGATTCAATAATACAAGGTTATGTAATCTAGATTTGTATCTTGGAAGTAGGAGAAAGGGGAAGAATGAGATCGCCTTTTGAGAAAACGGTAGTAGAAAGGTACTACAAAAAGTACGCAAAGTATACAATTAGAAGTAAAATGTGTATTATTGGGCGCGTCTCTAAGATGCAACTGTTTACCTCAACTGTTGCTGAAATGCTGTCAACTGTTGAGTTCAACAGTTACGTCTTAGAAACGGTATGATACACAAACTGCCAAAACATTTGTAAACAAGCAAAATTAAATAAAACAGCTCAAAAATAAAAAAATATTAAGCCAAAAATATGGATAGCACAGGATTTATAATGGAGTTTTTTTTATTTTATTTTTAATATATGTATTTGTACGTGTATTTTACTTTATTAACAGCCAGTTTCGCCAGCAATTTACATACAAATTATTTATTTATTTGAATTTTCTATGAAAACTGACGGAAGGGAAACATCATTAGCCGTGTTTTATTTGTCCAGAAATTTAAGCTATTAGCTTATTTTGTATGGAGGACTTACCCAACATAATTATATTGGTTTATGAAAAGCTCTCTTGGCTTGTATATTGAACAAGAGGCATTGCCATTCAGCATCAGAAATTTTCTCCATCAGCATCAGCCAATCAGAAAGAGGCAAAAACTTACTTTGACACTATTTGCAGTCAAACAACTCAAAATTAGGCTAACATAGGAAATAAGCTATTTTCGTTTTATTTGACCAAGATTTAGCTATTTGCTTTTTGAATGGTTGAATAAAACATGCCTATTTTTGACTTATATATGTAAATTGTTGACTTCATGTAGCGAAATAATTTTATGATGGAAAAAATGGCGTAAAGTTGCCAACCGTTGAGCTGAGCGGAACTACTCAACTGTGCGTTTCTGAAACAAACACTCAACAGTTTAGCAACAGCTACGTCTTAGAAACACGCCCATTAATTCTATGCGAATTCGCAATATATTTGGTGTTTTAATGGATATACTAAACAATACATAAAAATATGCATTTTTGATTTCAGTTATTCGTCATTTCCTGGAAGAAATCTACCGACCGTGCAGCTATGCGTTTTTGCAAATGCAGATCAATATAACTTTTTATGCTCATTTCGACCATGCCAAAATTATTTGGCGCAAGTGAAAAATGAAGACGTTCTAGAAGGTTAAAGTAATATTTAAGATTTTTTAAATATTAATATCTTATGGACCAAATAACCGATTAAAAAACTAATGACGTCACCATGAAGATAATTAATTTGTCTTTCAGCTGATGTACACAATTTATAGCTTTTTGTATTTTTAAACCAAACCCACTAAAAAACGAACAAATGTAATTTTTTCATGAAATAACCTTTTTTGAAAAAAACTGCATAATTAATGATAAAGAAATTTATATTATTTAGAAAGTACAAGTTACTACCTTTAATTCGATATTACATATTTTGTCATGATCTACTTTTGGGTTTCAAGAATTTAGTGATAATAAAAAATACAAGTAAACAAAGCAAATAAACCTCTTATATCTTCTTTCTTTTTTACCTGCGCCAAATAAGTGTGGTATCGTTGAAATCAGCGTAAAAAGTTGTATCAATCGGAATTTTTGGTTATTTTATAGCAAAAGGTCGCTATTCTACACTTGTTCTAGAAAATTACGCAAACGAAGGTGATGCTAACGAATATTTAGTATGAAGAATTGTTGGTTTTACTACTAATATCACTAGAAACTGTAGAGTAAGCAACATTCTGTATAAGTAAAGGAGCCGATTTTATGTGTGGAAGCGAGAAGGCTGTTTTATTACAAAACCATTCTATTATTGAATCATGCTGGTAATCGATGCAGCTATGAAATTTGTATACAATATAGAAGAAGAGGTAGCCGTAATATCCGCATCCTCAACTCAAAATTTATATTTTTTAATTATGAAACTATTGAAGTGAATGAGCGATATATACTCTCATGCATTGACATATCCGATGTAAAAGATTTTCGGTTTGAGTTCGTACCGTTGTTGAAAAAAAACCTATGAAAAATTTTGTGCGTTTTAAATTTTTATTACAATTTATTTTGTTCAAATTATTTTTAAGATTTCAATAGCTTACTCAATAATATATTGTAGTGTTTGTTTTTGTTTAAAAATTTTGGTACAATGATAATACTTATAGCTTTTACTACATATACAATAATCTCCATCGGCATGTTTCATACATACATATATCATTTTGTAATAACTTTTGCCGACCATTATTTGCCGAATGCCATTTTTTATACAAAGTTTTCACATATTTTTCACTTATTGGTTCGTTATTTTTTATTACTTTTTGATTTATGTTTATTATTGTTAATACTAATGCTGATATATAAATATTAATTATTATTTATTTACAGATATTGCCATAAAAAAGTTTAGGTTATTTTGATTATTTGTGATGGAGTGATTAAAATTAATGAAATTTTTAATTATGTCATAACTCTTTGTTAAATTTAATGAAAATTAACTTAGCAGTAAACACAACTTAAAGTTATAAAAAAATAGTTTAACATAGAATTTGTGCTTTAAAAGCTTTTAAAAATTATTAATTTTTGTATAATTGTATATAGTTTACATTGTATAAACTTAAAAAGATTACTAAATATAAGCTTGCGTATATTTTTGGGAATGTCTTTTCATCGCCTCAACAAAAAATAGGAACTAAAAGCACCAAAAACTAAAATGGTTCATAATTATAAGGTTACAGTGGAGCGAAATTGCATTTAAAGCGAAAGTATTTAGCAGAATATTCAAGAGCACTACTAGCAAGTGAGCAGCTTCTTATAGTTTTTTATACAAGTTTTATGCAAGTAAATTTAAAAATTTATTTTGAAATCTGAATTATGTATATAAAAAAAAAATTGTTTGCGGAATAAAAAATTCACTCTAAAAGTCATTGAGTAGTGTACTCATATTTCTGTGGTAATAAGAATTTTTTTAAAAAGTTTGAAGTGGTTTCAATACAACATTCTAAATTGTTTTAATATGTTTTTAAGTAAACTGAAAGTATGCCAAATTACACAATTAAAAATATCGTTGTTTTGTTGTTGCCGTGTTAAGCAAAAAAGCCTATACTTTAAACTAATGAGAGAATTCTTTATTTTAATAATACTTACATACATATGTTTAAATAAAATCAAAACAATATATTGCATGTTCATTACATATTCACATCGATTCACAGTTATAATAATTTACTTATGCAAGATTTTCTGCTCAACCTCCTTCAATTCTTTTCTACCCTCAAATTTTCACTAATTATTTTACTTAATATATATTTTATTATTTTCTAGCTTCCTACCGCTCTCTCGGACGTCTCGCCTCCTATCATGTACACTAATTGAACATAATATAGTTTACAACATTACAGTAAAATTAAACTAAGTGCGTATAACCGCCGGCGGCATGGACAACGTCAACGCCGACGGTGGTGGACCCATCTGCAGCGCCATGAAGCCACTGCCGGCGCCACCGCCGCCACCGCTGCCACCATTTGCCGCATTATCGGCGCTCTCCGCACCACGATTATTCAAATCACCGAAGCGCCGATATTGCCGCTGACGCAGCCGTTTCAGTTTGCGTCTTGCCATGTAGAGATTTTGATTAAATTCGCGAAATTGATGTGCCGCACGCGCGACGTTCCCTAGCACGCTGCCGCCGGCGCTGCAGTTGCCGTTGCGCTCCGCAGTTGTTGTCGCATCGTTGTGTTGCTGTTGCTGTTGGTGCTGGTGATGGCCACCTAAGCCAATGCCGCCGTTCATAGCCTCTTCCACATCGTATGTGTCGTTTGGCGGGAAAAACATGGGGTTGGCGGCCCAATCCCGCCAGAAATTTCAATCCTGCATACCGCCATTTTGTTGCGCACCGCCACCGACGGCAGCGCTCATAGGGGGTGGTGGCGGTGGCGGCGCTCCCACCGAACCAGGCACCGACAAAATTTCACCACCGGCGGACCGTCGCTCGTTGTCGTTGCGATTGAGCGCAAGCGGTTGCATGCCAGCGCCCAACATGCCGCCGCTGACGAAATCATCATCTCCCAGCGAGGAAGATTGTTTAGAGCGATCCGATTTGCAGTCCTCGTCCATTCCGAGATGGTGTAATGCCGTCATGCCGGCGCCATGTGGTTGGTGACGATCCGTCGGAGGCAGAAGGTTGAGCATGCTTAGCGGTAGACCAGGGAAGCCACCGGGGAAGTCCGGATAGAAAGCGCCGGGGAATGGCCCAAACAGCGAGTTGGGACCACCTAGCAGATCTGGCTCAGAGTTGGCATTACGTGGACCGCCCGGGCCGTTGCCAGGCACCATACCCGGCAGCGGTATGCCCAAGTCAAGTTCGGCGTTATTATTTGCCGCGTTTTCTGCATTTCTATTAGCCGCTTTCTCTTTGCGTGATTCATCCTTCTTTTTACTACCACCGGTGCCATGACCGAGACCAAGCTGTAGCAGTTCAAGTGGTGGACCGCTGATACAATCCTTGCGCAACTGCTCCAGCTTTAGGCTCTTGCCATACTTGCCGCGCACATACATCAGCAATGAATTGTAGGGTATGCCAAAGATGCGTGACGCCTGCGAGGTGGTCATCTTCTTGTTCCAGACATGCTGCAGTGCTTCGGTGAGTTCGGTGTTGGTCCATGAGCGTGGTGGACCGCCACGTGGCGCCGAGTGTTGGCCCTTAGGTCGTGGTACTGGAAAAAGAAAATGAAAAGTAGAAGGGAAAATTAGTCTGTAAGTATTTAAGGTAGTACGGTAGTAAGGTAGTTTTTGTAGATATTTCTTAAAAATATAAAGCAGTGCAAGTCAATTACTGCCTAAATAAACGAACAACTATTGCATGGAAATTCTATAAAAATTCAACACTGCCATCGAGCTCCACCTGCCTATCAGCGCGCCGCACACAAAGAGGTTATCACCTGCCAACGATCTGATAATGTTTTAATTTTGTCCTCTCCTTGAAGAAGGCGCATGCATACGAATATTTGTACCCATCTAAAAGTTTGCTGCAGTAATTTATCTACACATGTGTATATACATGTATGTAGGATGTGTGTTAGCGTTTTTGAGCGCCAATGGCATTGTGTTGTCATTGTCTTTCACATATTCCCAACACTCATCCACGCCCTGCTGCGCTTATTGTAAGGTGTGTGCATTGTTTCGTCGACTCTGCGGCTCAGGCTATGCGCCACTTTTGCTTCCTGCATATGCAAATTATAATATTTGCATTGAGTATATTATCGCAAAACGTAGATACCATGCGCCACATGCGGCTCAAAGGCTCCTGCATATCAGTTGCAAGAATCTCTGCCACAGGTTCGATGTGTGTGTGTGTGTGAGTGTGCAGATGAAAGGAGATTTTAAGATCTATGCCATTGTGATTTGGCTAAAGTTTTTAGAGAAAAATAAATTTAGATTTCGAATGAATGTCTGATTGTATGTTTACAAATATGTATGTATGTATGGTTATAAGAATATTTGGATACATTTGTACAGAGAATGGGTTTCGAAANAGTGTGCAGATGAAAGGAGATTTTAAGATGTATGCCATTGTGATTTGGCAAAAGTTTTTAGAGAAAAATAAATTTAGATTTCGAATGAATGTATGATTGTATGTTTACAAATTTGTATGTATGCATGGTTATAAGAATATTTGGATACATTTGTACAGAGAATGGGTTTCGAAAAGTCCATGCAATACATAGTTGGTTCCTATTAGTTTTATGTATATAGCACAAAAAGTCGATAAGGATTGCGCGTGACGAAAGATAATGTTCGATGCTCTGCTCCTCTTCCTCGTATCTGTAACTCCGATAAAAATCGTTGGTGTGGTATCCTAACTTCTTTCCCTGTGTACCCATTGGATAGTGTCCGGTATCCGACTATTAATCTGAGAGTGAGAGCTATGGATCGCTTTACATCAATCTTTGGCCAGAATTTGCCTGGAATTATGGCAGGTGGTTTCCAGAGCCCACCTGGTGTTTACCTCCTTCACTGTGTTTGCAGCAGGTTAGAGGTATGCCTACATTTTGAGCAGATATTTCCTTACTTTCGTTGCCATCTCGCCGGCTATGCAGTTTTCTGGAATGTTCCTGTGACCAGGGACACGTACTATAGTCAAGGAGCCTTTTTTATGCCAACAGGTTGATAAGTCTTCCAGCATTCTATGACTACTTTCGACGCTGTTCCCTTTAGAGTTANTCCAGGGACACGTACTATAGTCAAGGAGCCTTTTTTATGCCAACAGGTTGATAGTCTTCCAGCATTCTATGACTACTTTCGACGCTGTTCCCTTTAGAGTTAAGAGATTTTATAGCAGCCTGGCTGTAAGAATAAATAGCTATAGACTGTCTTGGAGTGACAGAGGTTATGAGCCTCCGTGCGGCTCCGTTATGGCGTTTAGCAGTGCTTGAAAAACGTTACAATGGTCCGATAAGCGAGAACTTAGGTTTCGCCCAAGTTGACCAGAGTAAATTCTGCTACCTATTCTTTAATTAAGCTTGGAACCATCTGCAAATTTAGCCGCCGACCCCGGGTTTAAGTACCTGACACCTTCCCACTAGTTCGTTGTATAAACAGAGTAGATTATCCGTTAGAGTCTCAATTACTTATGAGGGTCGGAATCTAAGGTGTCTCCACGGCTGAATCGTGTTTAACCTAGCTGCATGGCCTATACCACAGCGGTAGTTAGGGAAATTCTCTATCATGGTATAGTGGTATAGAGGGACACCCTTGAGAGAGGGGTAAACTTAAGAAATATGAATGACTGTACTGAAGCGATGAGAACGCACTTCCGAAGCCTCCTGCCCTCAAGGGAAGAGTGGAGATGAGATGCTCCAAGGAAGGCCGAGTTCAGCCTTGTACACACAGCTGGCTCAAAGCTCGAGGGTAGAGTCGGTGGACCGAACACCTAAGAATTTCCCTCAGATATCGTCTTCCGGACCACTGTACAAAGCTACAAAACTGGTAAAGTGTGATATTATGTCCCAAGCTGATATCTACATCTTTGCTGACAGCAAGGCGGCAATCAAGTCCCTCATGAAGCAGTCGACAACCTCCACGGTAGCCATGAAATGCCGCACATCTCGTAACGAGATCGCAGAGTCATTTCTACCAAGGGTGATATGGGTTTCGGGACACTACAACATGTCAATGTTGGGAATCGTAAGGCTTATGAACTGGCGCGACTTCGTACCAAAGCCCCTATTGAGGATATACATAAATGATGAAACTTGCAAAATACTTATTTCCGAGAGGCTTACGAAAGTAGCGAACGACAGATGGCATGACGAAATCACCTGCAAACTTGTCAAGAAATTGTGGTCGGTGCTCAGCGCTAAACGCACTGACTTACTACTGTGTCTTAATAAGCAGAATATCGCTTTGTTAGCATCTGTTATAGCAGGACACTGCCTAATTGGCAAGAATGCCTATCAAGATGAAGAGGAGAAGTCAACGACTCTGCAACTTCTGTGCCAGTGCCCTGCTCTTTCAGATGAAGATTTCACCCTGGGTACACACTCCGCTTTGGGTAGATATTCTTCTATGATAGCTTGGACAACTTTAGAAGCGTGAAAATCTGGGAAGTTCATAAAATTTTTAGGAACTATTGAGCTTAAGTTCACGTCATCAGTTAGGTTTCAGTCGACCGTACTGGGCAAGTAGCCCAAGAACTTTCCAGGAGTAGCAGGCTGAAGTTTGGCATCAGAATGCTTTTGATCGATATTGTGTTCCATCACGGAATACATAATAGACTATAATGAGATTTATCATGGATGTGGACAGGGAAGTTCTCAGCAGAATCATGCCCATATCACCCGATTTGTACTTTAGATATTATGGGAAAACTCTAGAAACAGTTTATTTGAGATACGTTAATAGCTTTCAGCTTAACGCAGGCGAATCGTACAATCTTTATTTAAATATGACTTGGAAGTTAGCTACATTGTCTGTCACTAATATCACTGTACAAAAATTTCTGGGAGTAAATAGGATGATTTTGTATGGCCAAATTAAGTTTGCAATTTTGTGCCTTAGGTTTTAAGAATAAGTGGAGAAGTATATACATATAGTAAAATTTCACGAGGAATAACTCTGTAGAATATTTTGACCCATTAGCTCTCACACGAAAGGGTCATTTTACCCCTACTTTGGAAATTTAGAATAAAATGGCATTTGTTAGGTAGCTAGAGGGTTTAAGTAGTTAAGTTTGAAAATTATTCGCTGGAAAATTTCTCTAAGGGTATTCTAAGACAAAATCTTTACGAATGTTTGAAAAGGCATTAAACATGTGCATTTCCACTGCGAACGATTCGGAGTAGAGATAGCTATGCTACAGTGTACGGGCCGGTTGTTCAATGTCTGGTTATCACTTCCTCCCAGTTAAACATCATTATCGACGATTTCGACATCATGCATATATATACCATGTGATCGATAAAGCAGTCGCTGCATTTAACCGGACCTTCTACCTCCGATTTGCGTTAACCAGACATTGAACAACCGGTCGTAAATCGGTCTTGAGGCCGAAGATAAGATGCTTAAATATAAATCCGTATGGCATGCAGTTGCCGCCGTCCAACGTAAGATTCGTTAAGCCAACGGTGCATGAATCGTTTCTAGTGCAGTTGGGTCACTTGTTATTTGCATGAAACCACCACTTCCTTCTACGCAACATACATAAATTTTGGCCAAAGTTCTATTCACATAAGCAATTTGAGACCTCTCTAACAGATGGTGGATAAAGCCCATCATCTCATTTCCTTCCAGTGATTTGAGCACCCTCTAAGTAGATACTAGGGGTCCACTATTTCAGGTGTATTGAATCGAGGAAATAAACTAAACCAGGGCCTCATATCTTGTACAGGGCTTGGCGTTACAACAACTTGGAAAAGACGTATCTGTGCAACTATAACAAGCAGGCCAAAGTCCGAAGGACGCGAAAGCAAAAGTTGAGAATAATTGCAGATTTACAGTGGAGTCCCACTAACAATTCATAGCCATTATTTGGTGTATTTAAAAAACGAGAACTAAGAAGCTCAGATTTTTGGCTCGCAGAAGTAAGCTAACTTAAAAAGCTTAGAAAACTTCGCGTATAAAACAATTTATTCGCCAAGAAGCCCTGTTGATCTTGAGCTTCTTGCAGGAAGTACCTCCACTAAGCGTACGTGAATTCACTTAGCTTTGGCTTTACCGCACTGGGCTATTAAGCCGCACTTACATGACAATCAGTGTTCAGCGTTGTTAAAATATTTAAGTGTATTTAAGTAAACCGTTTGACAGCTTAAAGCAGGTATTTGTTAGTGACCCATGGCGCCAAGATTATGCGTTCAGCCAAAGGCGATAAGATCGGTAGGAATAATCAAAACTGAACTCAAATTTGTTTACAATTGTGTAAATAGCGTTTTTTACGATATACTCACATAAGCATTCTATGCTTTCTTTCTTTTCTATGCCTAGGCGAGTGTTAGTTGCACAAGTAATGCGTCGAATGCTTCTCTATGAAAATAAAGTAGGTATGCACATTAGAGTGAACTACCTTACAAGCAAACAAAAAAGTTCGTCGTTCAGCATCGAGTCTAAGTACTTTTGTAAAGAAATTTCAAAAATGCTTGTTTTTGGTGAACACTTTTCGGTGACACCTACATTCGGCAAATAAAAAATCTATTTAAAATAGTTCTACTGGAATAACGAA